GCAGCACACCAACATAGTGGACAAGCCAGTTTTATGGCGATAAGATGGTTTCTGGAGTCTGCCCTCTCCTCCGTTAACTCCTCTGGGGCAGCAATGGCCAAAGTGGTTCAAATTATTAAAGTTCATGCTCAGTAATCCAGGTAAAAAATCCAACAACGTTAAGTCAGGTCCTTCGGATTTAAAAAAAAAAAGTTTCATATTTCATCCAAAGGACTTCATCAGTCTGAGGAGCCACAACAAACTCAATCCCACAAGCAGCACACTCAAATAGTGGGCAAACCAGTTTGATGTTAATAAGATGGTTTCTGGAGTCCACGTAAAACTATTTTTTACCTGGATTATTGAGCACAAACTTTGATGTTTTGAACCACGTTGGCCATCGCTGCCTAAGAGAAGTCGACGGGGGAGAGGGTGGACTCCAGAAACCATTTATCAATTGCAAGCTGGTTGGTCCACTTTGTGAGTGTGCTGCTTGTGGGACTGAATTTGTGGTTGCTCCTCGGACTGATGAAGTCCTTTGGATGAAAGACGAAATGTTTTAACAAAAAAAAAAAAAAAGAAAAAATAAAGAAACCATCCAGAAGACCTGACTTAACTTTGTTGGATTTTTTTTACATGAATTACTGAGCATGAACTATGATAAATACACAACATACACATTAGTAATACATCTTTATTCACTTTTGTGCTAGAAAATGTGAGTAAGCACATTAAACATCAAGCATGGAGGAACTTTTTTGCAGATGTAAAAAAAAGTTGTGTACATATGTACGGTAACGGAAAATGATAATTAATTTTGCAGGCAGCACGGTGGCACAACTGGTAGAGCCCTGGTTCAAATCCCGGTCCGGGGGTCTTTCTGGGTGGAATTTGCATGGTCTCTCTGTGCATGCGTGGGTTTTCTCCAGGTTCTCCAGTTTCCTCCCACAGACCAAAAACATGCACGTTAGGCTGATTGGTAACTCTAAATTGTGTCTAGGTGTGAGTGAGAGTGAATGACTGTTTGTCTCATTTGTCTGTGTCCCTGTGGAGGACTGGAGACCTGTCCATGTTGTCCCCCACCTCTCGCACAGTGATGGCTGGACATGGGCACCAGTGACTCCCGTGACCCAAAAAGGAAGAAAGCAGGTAAAAGATAATGGATGGCTGGATGGCTTTAATTTTGCTGGCAAGAAACAAAGTGAGAAATGCAATATTCACATAGGAAAATCTCTGTGACATTTCACCCACACACAAATACATAAAAGCTACACTTGCCCTTGATGTGCCACATTCATTTTTTATGACAAATTTAGATATTTTTACGAAAGACGAAACAAAAAATAAAAAAAAATAATAATTTTGAGCTTGAAAACTGGTGCTCTTTCAGAGTACTGGAGTCACCAGCTACATGCAGGAATTATTTATTTGTCTTACAAGGACAAATTCTTTTTGTTGACGCTTGAATACAGCGAGAGTTATAGCTGCTTTCACTTTTAAAGCAACACATTTGAAAAAAAAAAAGATAACCAGACAGAAAGGGCAAATCTGGATAATGTCAAGATCAATTCCACTCATAAACCATCTAATAATGGAATAGCACTCTTGTGAAAACATTTTTTTCTCTGCATTAAAGCAATAGAAAAAAAAAAGAACAGAATTAAACTTTGTTTTTTCTTGTACAATTGGCATTTCTTATTCTTGTCTTTTACTTGTTTAAATGTTTACGCTGCAAATGTTTTATACAAAGACGTGAGGATTCAAGGTTCTTTTTCTGTCATTCACTTCACGTGTGGTACATGAGGTGGAATGAAACAATGTACACAGGGTCCCAGTTACATCCAACAAAAATACAAATTGTAAAGAAAAACAGTAGTAAGATCTAAGACATGAACTAAGAAGTATGCTAAACTAAGAATACAATAAGTACTAAATTAAGAATACACTAAACTAAGAATACATATAAAAGAATACACAATAAAAGCTTGCTTAGGTGGAGGTAAACAATCATACTAAGAATAAATTCAGATTTTTGCATCTTTAGAAGTGTTGAACATTGAATATGTGTCCTTAGAATGACGATTTCTTTTCCTTCTTATTTCATGTCAGTCCTTTTCTTCTCAAAAAGATGTTTTGGTGTGGATAAGAACATAACCAGGAATATTCACTCTGATGCGCAGCAGATGCAGGTATATCCAGCGTCCAACAGATCTGTGAGGTGTTTTCTCACACTTTATCATACGAGTGAGTGGATGTGTGGGAGGTCATGTCTTCTGTTTGTGTGCACTCGTGTTTCTGTGCATCTAAGTGTGTGTACTATTCCTTTGCAACAATGCTCACTCTCCCAAAGGGATAGTCGGATTGTTCAGATAAATCATCTTCAGCTGGGCAGCGAAACCATACAAAAACAACAAGGAGAAAATAAATCCATATGGAAGCAAACCAAAACAGTAAATGTTGGTTAGAGCTGAAATTAAAAAGGTGAAAATTTGGATACTGTAACTCAGAACACAAATCTAGTTGAATGAAGTTGTAAGTGAGATACCTACAAGGAAGCGGTGTTAGATCTGCCACAGAAAAATGGACAGAAAGTCAAATGTATCATGCTTCATCTGCAAATAATATTTCTGTAAAGAGCAAATGAATAGTGTCACTGTATGCATCTAAGTACATACGCACATTATCTTGCACAAAATAACTTTGTGTGAAAATAGTACTTGATTGATTTGCTAGATTGGTGGTTGTTGTTGTTTAAACATGCAAATCTCCATTTTTTTTTACTAAAATTTGTTTTGCTTTTGACTTTGTATTTGTATTTATATTATTAAAGTAAAAAAAAAAAAAAAAAGTTGCCTTTTTTCTTGAAGTAAACATAGAGGTCAATTTTGACCCCAGCACCAAAGATGTTACTCTAGTTAATATTTTAAAAATCAATAAACACAATAAATTTATTCCAGAGATGTGTTCAAATACTCTCCAGTAACAGTCAGATAACATAATAACCAATTACCATAGTCCCTTGTTTATTTCAGGGGGATCTGTACCCTGAAGCCCCGCGATAAGTGAAAAAACGTGAAGTAGGAATAGTAGTACAGATAGTAAGTAGTAGTTTATTTTATTTTATATATATATATATATATATATATATATATATATATATATATGAAGGAGTTTTAAACACTTCCTACACTCTTGCAATGTTTTAAACAAGGTTTTTAATCTCTAAACGCTCTAAAAAGAGCACATCACGTCATGATTTCAGATCCCTGACTTTGCTCGTCAGCCACCAGCATGCGTTCTTGGCCACACCCACTTTCCCGCTCTGCACAGAGAACAGCTGATAAGCTGCAGCAGGAAGCTTATCCTGCAGTATGGGATGCACAAAGGTGCAGCAGGTGCTAAATAATATACTGTATATATATATATATATATATATATATATATATATATATATATATATATATATATATATATATCTTCTTTTAGCTGCTCCCTGCGTTAGGGGTCGCCACAGCGAACTTAGTTACATGAAGACTTCACAGTTATTTTTACGACGGATGCCCTTCCTGACGCAACCACAGACCACCGAGCTACCACAGCTCTATGTGTGGAACAGAAAGCTGCTATCTAGGACACCCAGAAGAGCAGATGGTGGGGGTTAAGGGCCTTGCTCAAGGGCCCAGCATGGAGTAAATGAGGTTGGGGCAGGTGTGGGTGCTTCACCTACCCCACCTACATTTTTGATGTTGTCGGTACCCGGGCTTGATCCGGCGATCTTCCGATCACAGGCCAACCTTCTCCAACCTCTGCAACACCATTCCCCTTTTTAAAATAATTTAAAATAATTCATTTTAAATAAAAAATGTCATGCAGATTGTGTGGCTCATCCATCAATCAGCCAATTGTGTGTCATGTCCAATCTTATTTTGAAAAAACGCAATAGAGCGAGTCTGAGATAAATGAACTGCGAAGTAGCGAAGGACTACTGAATTTATTTATGACATTCTGCTGGGCTTCATTGCACTTTTTCTTTTAATATTGAAAATGAGGTGAAAGCTGAAAAGACAGTCATGGGATGCCACACTGAAAATATTATTATTATTGTCATTATTTTTATTATGGAAAAGGATGCCTAATGAAGGAACCGATAGTTATACAACAAATCTGTATATATATATATATATGTATATATATATATATATATATATACATACATACATTTACTGTGAATAATTTTGTTAATTTTAAGACTGGGATTAAAACTGACCCCAAACACCATGGATAGTAACAGGAAGCTAACACTACAGGAAGGTTAAATAAATACTTTCTTTTCTGTAAATGATCATTCATGTTGAAATATTTGCAATAACAAAGGAGTCAAAACTGGGTGTGTTAGAGATTAGTCAAAAGACTGGCAGTTATATGTTTTAAGCTCAAGGGTGAAATAAAGCAGTCCTGTGGATGCACTAAATATGTAAGCATGCTAAAAGCACCAGATGACTCCTCCTTCCAGTCTGTCACTCTATTTTTCCCCCTTTCTTTATTTTCTCTCAGTAACATTAAAGCTACGTGGCAAAGCACAGAGCTGCCTATGATTGTTGTCGCAACTGTTTTTCTACATATTAATCTGACAGACATGGATGGACCAGATATAGATGAACTAGACTAGTTCAAAAAGGACCCATTCTGGACAGATGTTTAAACATTTAGGACAGTTTTCTTTTTAATCCTGAGACAAGCCACTGATTAGTGTTTGCCACTGCCTCATGTCCTATATGCAATAATACACTGACCCCATCACATTGTTGCTGTAGTCTGGCCTTGTTGACCGCAGCAGATGGCAGGGGTGGAATCTGAATATCACTGAACTGGTTCATCTTTGTGCAATTAAAATAACAGTATCGAGAGCACTTTTGAATGTACATTGTGTAAAACAGAGCAGAGTGATACATCTGATGTAAGATTAGGTAAATTAGAAGTAGTCATTATGAAAAACAAAACACTAAATGTTCAAAGCTTACCGAACAGTTGATTGGTACACAAGATCTTCACGTCGACGGTAATCCTCCATATGAGAATAATTTGTGTTAAACATTGCATCATAGGTGAAGATCTTCTGCTTGATGGTACCTCCATCTGTGACCTGTGAAGCGAAGAAAGACCATTATTAGGGGAGATCCTGTACTGATGGATATTAAAAGACCTATATGTCTTTTTAGCCGATGCACCAAATCATACATTAAAGTTTGACGTGCACTCAGCTGTTCAGACAGTTGTTTTAATGACAATGATAAATGCATCATGAATACAGCAAAACATTGAAAACCTGCTGACGTTGTAACATTCCAGGAATGGTCTTATAGGATGGCCCCGTTTGTTTTTATGCACATCGTTAAACCTTACGAGGACTGACGCAGCACAGAGTTCTGCATGAAACAGGATAAGTTTTTGCAGATTTAATGGCATTAGACAAAATACTACAGAGGGTAAGTTAAAAAATCCTGCACCAACACTGTACACCCACGCTACAGGTATGACTGAGAAGACTCCCCGCCCCCTTCCAGCCTCGGGCTCATGCTGTCATGGCAGCCGTCTCCATGATCCTCCATCTGCCTGCACGGACCGAACTCCATGGAACAGTTCGGTTCTGTGGGGAAACATTGGATGTTCTTTGTCTGCCGGACCCAGTTCTGGAGGGCAGTCATCGTCCATTGCCACGGTCATTATTATAGTCGTGCTGCTAACGGGACCGCGCTGCTAGCAAGACCACGCCACTAACAGAATCACACTACTAACAGTGCCATGGTTCTAATGGGACCATGTTGCTAACAGGACCATGTTGCTAACATAATCACACTGTTAACAGTACCATGCTGCTAACAATACCATGCTGCTAACAGGACCATGTTGCTAAAAGAACCATGCTGCTAACAGTACCATGCTGCTAACAGGACCATGCTGCTAACAGAACCACACTGTTAACAGTACCATGCTGCTAATAGGACCATGCTGCTAAAAGAACCATGCTGCTAACAGTACCATGCTGCTAACAGTACCATGCTGCTAACAGTACCATGCTGCTAATAGGACCATGCTGTTAACAGGATCATGCTGTTAACAGTACCATGCTGCTAACAGTACCATGCTGCTAACAGGACCATGCTGTTAAAAGGACCATGCTGTTAACAGTACCATGCTGTTAACAGTACCATGCTGCTAACAGGACCATGCTGCTAACAGAACCACACTGTTAACAGTACCATGCTGCTAATAGGACCATCCTGCTAACAGGACCATGCTGCTAATAGAACCACACTGTTAACAGTACCATGCTGCTAACAGGACCATGTTGCTAAGAGAACCATGCTGCTAACAGAACCACACTGTTAACAGTACCATGCTGCTAAGAGAACCATGCTGCTAAGGGAACCTCACTGCCAACAGAAACACTCTACTAATAGGACTGTGTTGCTAACAGAACCACACTGCTAATGATACCACACTGCTAAACAGGACCATCCTGCTAAGACAGTCCTTCTCAAATAATGGGGCGTGCCCCCCAGGGGGGGTCCAGAGCAATGCCAGGGGCGGCGCATGTGACCCCGGGGAACATTTTGCGGCAGGGAGTAGTTTTTTTTTTTTTTCACCACTCTCATTTTCTCAGGGTGCGTTTGGCAACTGTTTGCTAAAATCCGGCAACTCTCGGGTTTACTAATAACAAAGTTATGAACAAATATGTCTGTCTTGTCGTTTGGGGAGCCATGCTTGAACCGCGTCGCTTCCCTCTGCTGCTGAGAAACTCCGACACCTCCTCAGCTGGTGACGCTCTGGATGCTTGTCACCCACAGCACGCATGCGACAGCATATAAACTCAAAGCGAGAGCGTTACCTGCCCCTCTTCCTCTTTCGCGTTGGTTTTTTTTTTTTGTTTTATCAACTGTCAAAGCACAATTATGTTTTTATTTTGTAGTTGTTGTTAAAAAAAAAAGCTGTTTAAAAAAAGTTTGTACTCCATTATTTGCTAACACAATATATTTTCTGTCATTGAACAGCTTGTCAGGTTCTTCTCTTGTGAGTGCTTTCCCCTGGAACCCCCCCCCCCTCCTCCAAACACACACACCCCAGCCCCCTCCCTCTTTGCAGCTTCTCTGCTGTTGCTGCATTGAAGACCAAGTCCAGGTCCAGCTAAACATTGAGCAGGAGCTGCAGGATCATGTTTCAAATTCCACTTTAAAAAGCTGTGCACTGCAAAACGTGCTCATTGTAGCCATTAACACTGACTTCCTCATTTTGATTTAAAAAATAAAAATAAAAAATCAGCACAAATTATTTTATTCATTTTTGTTTTGTAGGTCACTCCTGGCTTAAAATGTTGCTGATCAATTTGAATTTATTATTATTTATTCATTGTAATTAATTTGATTTTTCAGTATCAAATGGTCAAAAATGTTTACGGTTTAAATAAGGATAGATTTTATTTTATATTTTCAGGCAAATGGATGCACTTTAAGCCTTTTCTGTTACAGACTATAAAACAATGTTAACAATCTTTCTTGTAAGTTGATCTGTATTTCTTTATTGTTTTAAATGTAATGTTAATAAGGATACAATGTTATGCAAAGGTGTACTTATAACAATTTTATAGAAATATGATACTATTTACAGTTGCAGCGGAGAGTTGAGCGGGCGCAAAATATTTACTTCTTCCTAGGGGGGCGTAACAGAAAATAATTGAGAAGCACTCTGTTAACAGAACCACACTGTTAACAGAACCACACTGTTAACAGAACCATGCTGCTATAGATGTATTTCTTTTACCACTTTTGACACCTTGATTTTGTATTTTTATTGCATGCTTTGGTATTTTTTTATTTTTTTATTTTTGCATTGTTGATTTTTGCATTGTTGACCTTGTGTTTATCTACATATGACAAATCCTAAAACCTAAACCTAAAAACGCTTGTTTCTTTTAATTTTGTTAGACATCGCCTAGAGCAGTTTTTTTATTTTTTTATTTCCAATATTCAAAGAAGTGTTAAAGTCACTCAGCATTTGAATGATTGTGACTTTTTGCTTCTTTTGAAAAGCCACCGACAGCCACAAAGAAAAAGGGGTGACAGGATTTTAATGGAGCCACTAATACAGCTTTTGAAGAGGAAAATGGTTGGTGGGACAGGAATCCCTCGTTTGATGCTGTCATTCCAATTCAATCAAATCCTTCCAGCGCGTAAACAACGTCCAGGCTTTGCAAGATTCGTTCTGAGTTTACTGTAGGCATCGCTTCATTGAAAGACAAAACGAAGTTTCATTCAAATAAGCAAGACTGAAAAATGTACAATGATCTGAAGGAATCATTTAAAACGTTTTCTGTCATATACAGCCCTTTTTGTTTAGACATTTTAAGATCACGTTTGTTGGTAATTTAAAATAAGTTAAAGGCAACGAAAGATGTGCATTAGTCTGAATAATTTTAGCTTTTTTCTGATGCTAGTTTGAGGAAAAGTTTTCATCCAGTCACCAGTTTGAGTCCAGTTCTCAGTTTTGATGTAAACGGGTGTAAACCCTGAGCAACGATGCATCTTTAGTTGGAGAGGTAGAACAGGGAGCAGGAACAGGTAAAGGTCAGCTTCTAAAAGCAAAGCTGTGTTTGAAAATTGTTTTCTAGCCACCCAAACTTCTGGCGTTGCTCCAGTTATAGCACCTTTTATTTGTTTTCTAGACACATCACAAGGGATCAACATTCACACACGGTGTTAGAAACAAAAACTGCAATAGTAAACCATTGATTGCAAACTAATATTTTTCTTTCACATTCACACAAAATAAGAAGCATTTTAAGGAAATTAAAAAATGTTTTCAAAATGTTTTACTTTTTTCCCCTTATATTTGCTATCTGCACATTCAATACTTAAAGTAAAGCTGTGAGATGAAAACAAATGTTTAATAGTGTTCGATAATACCTATTAACATTGCATCCGTTTCATTTTGTCACTTATTGCCTATATTTGTGTTTTATCAAAGTCATATTGGTAGATTAAAGTGTTTTGATTGAAATATCACCCCCACCCAAAGACATTTATTTATTCATTTTATTTATTCATTTGTTTGTTTATTTATTGGCCCTGTGATGGACTTGCGACTCGTCCAGGGTGTACCCCGCCCCTCGCACAGTGATTGCTGGACATGGGCACCAGCGACCCCAGTGACCCAAAATGGAATAAACGGGTAAAGATAATGGATGGATGGATGTTTATTTATTTATTGGGGGGCGGGGTGTGTATATTTTTAAGGACAGCCAAGATGAATTGTTGAAGGCTGAGTGAATCAAAAATAGCTCTGCAGGAAACCCGGAGGACCTGCTGAAGTGTTTATTGCATAAGTAATATTCTGGCTTGCCAACATTTAAGCACGTTTAAAGCCCACAGTAGTATTTAATCTGTTCACTTTGTTTTTGACCCTTGTGCACGATAATTGTTTTAGGAATAGACGCTTTTAGTCATGAGCCTTTAGAGATAAAATAAACCGAGTTGGGGCTATACATCAGCTTTATGTGGGCAGTAACACATTTAGATAAAAAAGCACATTATCAGATGAACCACTATAAATGCCGAGTCCTCTGAGAAATGCACTTCAAATGTATGATTCCTGTTAAAGCTAAGTTTGCGCCAATACAATGGCCTTAAGGTAGTTCAGTGTCTGAACGTGGGTGTTGGGTGGGCAGCAGGTGATGCAGTCTTTTATTGGACAAATACAAAATGTATTTGTGAGGAGGTAAAGGCTTCTTTAAGTCCATATGAACTTGGAACCATATTTATTCACTATAAATTAACATAATGCAGTTTATCAAAGTTCATGCTCAATAATCCAGATAAAAAAATCCAACACAGTTCAGTCAGGTCATCTGGACGGTTTCTTTTTTTGTTGCTGAGACGTTTCATCTTTCATCCAAAGCAGAGTGTGTTGTGGCTTCTCGGAATGATGAAGTCCTTTGGATGAAGGATGAAATGTCACAACAACCAAAAAGAAGAAACCGTCCAGATGACCTGACTGAACTTTGTTGCAGGTTAGATATTTTTATGTCAAAAATTAATGTTCTGGCAATAACAGAAGTGGCACTAGTGGTATTTTTTAGTAAAAAGAATGGGGATGTTGGGTGGGGGGGGGGTCTACCAAATTGTTCTTTTTAAATGAAGCTCTCGACCTTGACCTCTCTAAGTGGCTTTGAGAATCTGTTGTACACCTGGCAAGGTTTAAAGCAGACATGTTCCTGTTTTTAGTTTTCTACATTCGCTTTACAATCTAGCTGTTTTTATTACTGTTTTTGCCATCTTATTTTAATTTGTAAAAAAATAAAATAAAAAATCTGTATGCCTTTTTATAACTGTCTATTGTTGTCACTGTTGTCCATTGTTGTCATCATTCTTTGTTGAAATCAGGTCTCTCTTGTAAATGAGTCCTTGAGGCTCAATGGAATTAACCTGTCTAAATAAAGGTTGAACAAATGAAAATACTGTATTGTTTGTCCTATAAGTCATGTTTTTATGCATAATTTACATGCCCTGTGACTTATAGGCCGAAGCTATGTATTTATAGATTTTTCCCATATTCATAAACCGATTTTTGGCTGAGATATGACCATTTTCATTAATCCATTAATTTTCTTCCACTTATCCAGGGTCAGGTCGCGGGTCGCGGGTCGCAGCTT